AATAAGGCTAAACTTAGGGGTCGGCATAATTCCTTTGTGTGGATATTCACTGCCACATTCTATCCATCTTTGCCTCTATCTGCATGGCCCACTTGATCCTCTGGGTAAAAGGCACGTTCTATAATCAGCCTGCATCATTGTGTTTTTAGTAAGAGCTAATGATAAATAGTTTTGAGGAGAAATCTTTGCTATTAGAATATAAGAATCTTAAGACAAGTCATACTCAAATTGTTCCTCTATAAATCAAAGTAAATTTAATGAACATATGATAGTAGACTTAAAAGAAATTTAACATTCTCTCTCTCTCTCTCTCTCTCTCTCTCTCTCTCTTTTTTTAGGCAATTGGGGTTAAGTGACTTGCCCAGGGTCACACAGCTAGTAAATGTGAAGTGTTTGGTCTGAGGCTGGATTTGAACTCAGGTCCTCCTGACTTCAGGGCCACTGCTTTATCCACTGCACCACCTAGCTGCCCCGAAATTTAACATTCTACCACTTCTTTTAGTTCCTCTAAGTTTGGTTTTCATGGCTCCATGTTTATAGTGAAACTATACTGCAAGTGGATGCTTGTGTTCTTTTTACCTTAGTGATACAGAAGGACAAAGACAGGGAGTGAGGAAGCTTGCATAGCAAACATGGATGCAGAGTAACGCACATTTCATGAATGGATACAGAATCTCATAGCTTAGATTGTTCAACACTATTTGTATGGTGGGCAAAGAAAGGCTGGGGTGGGGAGGGGGAGCAATCTCTCTGCTCTTTGTGGATTTGTGTAAGAAGTGTCAACCTTGTCCAGCATTTTCAAAATACAATACTTATACGCTGGCAAGGTATGAAAAGCAGTTACTGAAAACTACTGTGGATCTGAATGAAATGGAGAAAATGCCAAATATTTAAGTCACAACAGAGTGAAGTTTAAAAGATAACAACATACAAAGTTTAGAAAACTCAAAAGTTTTCATGGAGCTGTTTTGTGATTATCTGAAAAGTACAAAGTGATATATTACTGGCTGCATCTTCATTCATTCTCCTCAGCTCAATGGTCTGAGGGGGCAGTTGGAATACTCCTTGTTCCCCACTGTCACTTCCAGGTTCTCTCCCTACCTCCATCACTCAGTAACTTCTCTTCCTTTGAGGATCATGCTATTCATCTCTACCACTCAGTTAAAATCTTGGTAGCTGCTGTCTACAGACCACCAAGTAACTCTCCTTTCTTCTTCAATGGGTTTCAGTAGATGGCTCACAGTTTTTCTCTCCTCTCCAATTCATGCCCTCATACTAGGGCATCAAGTACCTCAATCACTCAGTTCCTCAAATCACTCATTCCCCATGACCTACTTACTCCACCTCACCTAAGCCACACTCAAAAATTGTTATACCTTTGATCTTTCCATTACCTACAGATGTAACACCTCCATGATCAAGAACTCTGAAATCCCCTTATCTGACCATAATCCATTGGCTTTTCACCTCTCCCTCTTCCTTCCCTTACATAACACTACTCTTTCTCTCACTATGACCTCCAACCTCTTGCCCCCTCAATTCTCTCCTAGTCTATCTCCCCTGCACTAGCCACTCTGTCCTCTCCTCCTCATCTTGATTTATTGGTGAACAAATTCAACTCCACACTGCTCTCCTCTCTATCACCAATCACGCCCAGCTACAGTTCGGCCTTGCATTACTCCCACCATTTGTCACTTCGTTCCTATACAAATGCTGCTGAACAAAGGTAGAGAAAATCACTCAACCATTCTGCCTGAACTCACTACAAACATGTTACACAATCTCAACTGGCCCTCATGCCGCTAGGCAATGCTACTCTATTTCCCTCATCAATTTACTACCTCGACAGTAGCTCTTCCAAACTTTTTCATTTCTCAAACATCCCATGGACCCCTCTCCCCTCATTCTCTCAGCTGAGAGCTGTGTCCCATATTTAACAGAAAAAAACTGAGGCCATTCGCTGTAAACTCCTTCCTCATTTCCTATCATTCAGATACCTTCTGCCACTATCTCCTCCTTCATCCCTGTCTCTCATAATGAAGTTACTTCACTCCTAACTGATCTACTTGTACAAATGATCTCATTCCAACTCAACTCCTCCAACAGACTGCCCTCTCTGTCACTCCTATTCTCTCACTTATTTTCAATCTTTCCTACTGCCAATATCTCCCCCACCCGGAAAAAACTCTCACTGGATCCTTCCATCCTTGCTAACTATAATCCTATTTCTCTTCTGCCCTTTGCAGCTAAACTCCTTGAAAAGGCCACCTGTAATAGATGTCTCCACTTTCTCTACTCTCTCTTCTTAATGCCTTTACAAACTGCCCTCTGATCTTATCATTCCACCAAAACTGCTCTCTCGGGAAGTTACTGATTATCTCTTTGTTGCCAAATTCAAAGGCCTTTTCCTCAGTCCTCATTTTCCTTGACCTCTCTGTAGCCTCTTACACTGCTGATTGCTCTCTCCTCCTGGATACTATCTTCTCTCTAGGTTTTCAGGACACCACTCTCTCCTGTTCTCTTCCTACCTGACTGCTCCTTCTGCATCTCCTTTGCTGGATCCTCCTCCAGATCACTCCCTCTAACCATAGGTGTCCCTCAAGGTTCTGTCCTAGGTCCTCTTTTCTTCTCGCTCTATACTACTTCATTTGGCAATCTCATCAGCTTCCATAGCTTTAATCACCATTTTCAAAGCTGATGATTTTCAAATTTACCTTTTCCGACTCAATCTTTTTGCTGACCTCCAATCTCACATCTCCAACTGCCTACTGGACATCTCAAACTGTATTGTCCTATAAACTTCTTAATACTCAACCTCTCCAAAACTGAATTTTTTCTCTTAAACCACTCCCTCTTCCTACTTTCTCTATTACTGTAGAAGTCATCACTCTCCTCCTCATCCCTCAGGCTCACAACCTAGGAGTCATACTAGATTCCTCACTCTCACTCCCCCCTCCACATCCAAATTTTTGCCAAAGCCGGCTGATTTCACCTTTGCAATGTCTCTCTAATAGCCCCCTTCTCTCCTCTAACAATGCAACGACTCTAGTAGAAGCCCTCATCACCTCATGCCTTATTACTGGTCATTCTTCCTGCCTCAAGTCCATCCCCCACCCCAATCCATCTTCTAACTGATTTTCTTTAAGTGCAGGTCTGATCGTGTCATCCCCCCTACTCAAATTCTAGTAACTTTCTGTTACTTCCAGGAGCAAATACAAAATGCTCTGTTTGGATTTCAAAGCCCTTCATAATCTGGCTCTCTCCTTCCTTTCCAGTCTTCTTACACCTCACTTCCCAACACATACCCTTCAATTCAGTGACAGGCTTATGGCTGTTCCACAAACAAGACACTCCATCTCTTGTCTCCAGGCATTTTCTCTGGCTGTCCCCCTTGCCTGGAATGCTCTCCCTCCTCCAGTGACCACAAATCTCCCTGGTTTCCTTTAAGGCCCAACTAAAATCCCACCCTCCTATAAGGAGGCAATTCTATTGCCTTCCCTCTTTTAATTATTTCCTGCTTATCCTGTATATAGCTTGCTTTGTATATATTTGTTTGTACATCTCCATTAGATTGTAAGCTCCTTGAAAGCAGGGGCTGTCTTTTGTCTCTTTTTGTATCTCCAGCTCTCAGCACAGTGCAAGGCACATAGTAGGCACTTAATATTTATTGACTGACTGATGGCTGCTGTGTGCTATTAAATCTTTTAAAACTCTGGTGTGGATGACAATGTTCTGGAGTTACCAATATTCATTCCTAGGCATTCCCAATTTTTGCTTATTGTACTTATTACTTCACACTAGATTACTGCAATAGCCGCTGATTGCTCTCCCTTGCAACAAGACTCTCGACATTCCAGTTTATTCTCCTCTTGGCTGTCAAATTGATCTTCTTAAAACACAAGTGATTTTCTTATTCAATCAATTCTAGTGGTTCCCTATTACCTTCAAAATCACATACAAAATCCTTTTGACATTCAAAGCATTTCATGACCTAGCCCCCCTTTCTAGTCTTCATATAACTTACTTCCACTACTGGCCCCTCTTCCCTTCTAACTCCCCATAAACTCTGTGATCCAGTGACACCGGCCTCCTCGCTCCTTACACAAGACACTCATCTTCTAACTCCAAGGATGTTTACTGGCTTTCCCCCATGCCTGGAACTTTCTCATTTCTTCCCTAAGCTTCAAGCCTTGGCTAAAGGAGTCCCACCTCGGCAAGAAACCTTTCATAATCTTCCTTGATCTTAGTGCCTTCCCTTGCAAGAAACTCTGAGAGTCTTCCTCTCCCAGACTGATTCTTTTGTGAAGGCAAACTAGGCCATCTTTTGTCTCAATTCTAACCAAACCTTTAATCACTGAATGGGTGTCGCCTCAGACAAACTGAGACCTGGGAAAGTCAAGCCCTTGGCTTAAAAAGGCAACATCTCCCACTGCATCTCCCACTGTTTTGACTTAGGTCTTGCCACTGAACCCTAATGAGTCTGGAGGAGACAGTGGGGCTGATGACTTTGCACAGCCCTGTCTCCAGTTCACTTGCAAGTCAAGACATCACTCTCCGGACATCATTGGTCATCTTCTGAGAACAAAGGATGAACAACAGCCTTCCCTCTGAGATTATCTCAGCTTCTCTTGTGCAGGTCTTGTTCATACACAGTTGCATATATCTTATTCCTCCATTACACTATGACCTCCTTAAAAGGAGGGATTTTTTTTTTTGCCTTTTTTTGTATGTCCAGCACTGAACATAGTGCTTGGGACATAGCCGATGCTTAATAAATGCTTGTTGACTTGTACTCGATCTTCAGTGAAGGGTTTGTATGCATATATGAAACAAATATGGCTGTCAGTGTAGCGATAGGTATCTTCTGAAAACATCTTTATAACTGTTTTGAAAAGGAAATCAATAAAGCTCATTTTTCATTCCACTAACTGCTTAAATTCACTCACCTGCTGGACTTGAGGAATGGCTACACAAAACAACAGAATTCTGTAATCACCTACCTGCAGGAGAAGAAAGCCACCGCCCACTGCAGTTGCTGCAAGTTTTCCAACTTTCTGGAATAAAAATCCTGCACACCTTAAATTAAAAAAAAAAGTAGAGAGAAGGGAAAGATTAGTAAAATTCTAAAATAGTTCTCTAGCTTTCCTGGGGAAAACGTTAATTTTATTTGACTACAGAAAGATAGCTTTCCTTTCTGTATTACTGGGTTCTTAAATGGATTGTCCCTAAGTACTGGATAAAAATCCTAACTCCTTACTCTGGGAAACAAGATATTGTATATGCCAATCCATCCTATCCATTATCCAATCTTAGATCTCTATTCAGCACTCTATTCAGTTTATGGGACACATCACTCTCATACCGAACTTTGCTCATGCTATTGTGACCCCTTCCTTAGGTTGCTTTCTATCTTTCTTATTCCCCCATCTAAAGATCATTAAAGAAGATCCAGGTCAGTCAAGCTCTACCTCCTCCAGGAAAACCTCCAAATTTACTTAGGCCCACAGAGATCTCTGTCTTTTCTGAAACACTACTGAATTAATCTCTGTAGTACATCATAGCACTTAAACAAGATAAGGCAGCATGATTAAGGCCTTCACACACAAGTCCTATCTATCATAACCTACTATTATAAAATCTTTCCATTATTTTTCTTAAATATATTCTTTTCTCTCATTATGACCTCTAATCTCTCTACTCCTCAAGTGCCTTCCTTGCTCCTACTTCTCTGGTCTCCCTTCTCAGTCTCAATCCTTTAACTAGCCAATTTAACTCTACACTCTTGAATCCCTTACTTTATCATTACAATTTGACTGGATTAATCCCACCATCTACTTTCTTCAATTCTACTCACATGCCACTTATTCAGTAGATCTGGAGAAAATGATGTAATCACATTGATTGGGTCAAATTTATCTAATGCCAACCTGGCTCTCATTTCAGCATGGATCAATCCTTTTATTCCATTCTATTCTCTATCCCACTTTCCATAGAAGATATTGTAAAGCTCCTCTTCTCTGCTCAAAACTTCTATTATCAACCCTCTTACAATACCTTGATATTACCTTCCCATTCTCTCTTCTTTTATTCAGATCTTTAGTGGAGAAGTGAACCTTCTCCATGTCAGTAACAGCCCTTCTACAAGTAATCTTGTGCATCTACATAAGACTGACTCTACTATCACCTCTTCCCTCTACTGCTCAATCTTTCCCTATGATCTATAAACTCACTCAAATCTCTAATGTTCAATCTTTCCCTATTTATCCTTCCCTGCTATCTATAAACTCACTCAGGTCTCACTTATTCTTAAAATTCCTCACTAGATCATACCTACCCCTGCAAGCTATTATCTCATATCACTTTCTCAACTAAACTTGAAAAAAAAAAGTGTACACTCATCGCCTTTACTTTCTTCTCTTCTCAATCTCTTCTAAACCTTCTACAATGGGCTGATGACTTCATCATCCAACTGAAACTGCCCATTCCAAATAACCTCCTAATTGAAAGGCCTTTCCCAAACCACACATCCTTCTTGACCTCTCTGCACCATTTGACACTAAGATATATTCTTTCATCTCTGTTATCTCTTGGTCCTCTACCTGCAGGACTACTTTTCTTCAGTTTCCTTTGGTGGATTATCATCCATAACATGCTCCCTAACTGTAGGTATACTCCAAAGATCTCTTCTAGTCCTTCCTTTCTTTTCTTTCTATAATCTGTCTAATAATGATGATCACTCTATTCACATGGGTTTGTCGTCTCTACACTACTGCCTCCAGATCAATATTTCTAACTCCAACCGCCTACTGAGCAACTCAGTGTCCAAAATTGACCTCACCTTTCCAAGCTCAACTTTCTTCTAAACATTCTTTTCTACCGAGATCACTATCATCCTTCCAGTTTGCAACTTCGGTGTCATCCTCAGCTCCTTATTTAACTAGTTGCCAAACCTTGTCATTATAACTTCCATACCGTTTTTTGTATCCCATTCCCCTTCTGTCTACTCACAGAACCACCACCACTGCTTAGGCCCTTTCATCTGGAGTACTAAGATGGCGTACTAAGAGCTATCCCTGCTTCAGGTCTCTTTCCTCTGCAAACCATCCTGCACAACTGCCAAACTGATCTCCCTAAAGCAGAAATCTGACCGTGTCATTTCTCTATTCAATATGCTCCAGCAGCAACTTATTATCTTCAGGATCAAACAGAAACTTCTATTTGGTACTTGAAAACTGTCACGACATAACTTTTCAACATTATTGTATATTCCTGCCCTCCACACCCACACTGCAGTCCAGCCTCATTTTTGGCATTCTACTTCTCACCTCTGTGCTTTTTGTACCTTCTCTCCTGGATTTTCAGCTTCCTTTTGTGTGTTGTCTTCCCTCTTTAGACTGTAAGGTCCTTGAAAGCTGGAACTATCTTTCTTTTTCCTATCTGTATCCCTAGTATTTACCACAGTGCTTGGCATACTAGGCACCTAACAAATATATTTACTGTAAGTAAAACAAAATTAAATGAACATACATTTACTAAGTCAGCCAGTAAATATTCATTCATTCATTTATTGATTTTGCACTAGCTATACTTACTTGCTTACCCTGATTTTCTTCAGCTCAAGCACCATCTTCTACAGAAGGTCAATTTTAACTCCCCCAGGTAAGAGGACTTCAATCACCTTGCATCTATTTTGTATATGCCTCCATACAAAGCCATGTTGTTTCCTCTTCAACCTCCCATTAGACTATAAGCTCTTTGAGGGAAAGAGCTATTATCTCTTTTGTCTTTGAATCCCCCAGAGTCTAGCATAGTTCTTGGCACATATTCAGCACTCAACAAATCTGTGTTGATTGCTTGTGTCCCCAGTAAAACAGTAAGTTTCTTAATGTCAGAAACCATATCTTACGTTTCTTTAGTATCCTCAATAGCATCCAACATATTGTTCTAGGTACACAAGAGACGCTCAATAAGTAATTTTAATGAAAAAAATTCATATCCCAATTATACATGATCCTTAAATTTTAGGATATTTATAGCAAGGTACCAATTTTTTGGACATAGTCTAACAGAAAAACAAAATGAACAAATTATCTGGTTATTTCTATCAGTTTAGTTCCATATTTAGAAAACAGCTTTGTCACCCCTTCCAACTAAATGCTAATCTCATGTGCTAGTAATGTTTTGAGACATTAAAAAATTGGTTTAATGTACACTGAAACTGAAAACGTGAAAACAAATCAGCTTTATGATTTGAAAGGTTTTATGTAACAAGTACTTTAATATTTTAAATTGCATGAAAATGATTATAAAAATAAATGTGGCACAGTGAGAAAAAGTATGTGATTTGGAGTCAAGGGCAGGTGGTTTCAAATCACAGCTCTTCTACTTATTTGTTGTGGGACTACACAGTTTGTCTCCCGTGGTATTTCAGAAAACTTTTTCATTTTCTGGGCCTAACCTTTCTTAGGACACATTGCTTCTGCTCTAGACACAGCCCACTTCTGTTTTCTGGCGTTGTTTTCTGAAATTGTCTAGACATGCTACAATCCATGCTAGGAACTTTGACTTCCCATTAAACCTCACTAATTAGCTGTCTATATCATCAGAGGAGAATAAGACCCCATTCCTCTCTATAAAATACTTGTCCCTTTCCAGGAATCTCTGAGCCACCATGCTGCATGGAGTGACCAGGAGTTCAACCCATCCAAACTAGGAGCTACACCAAACTAGGAGCTTGGTGTAATGATTGCCTAAGGGACAGTCTCTTGCATCATGGACTCTCTCCTTTATACATGCCCTGAAGATTACCTTGCTCCCAAAGGCACTGACATATCTAGCTCAAACTCTTTCATCTTTCCTCATTCTACCTGCCAACCCAGTTTGGAGGGTAGCTACCATATCACTTCATTTGTTGCCCTTCTTGCCCTCCTTACTCCTCAGCATTAAGTCACAAAGCTTTTCCTTAAATGCCCCCAAATAAAGGCCTATCGGACTAGCCTAATTCTTCTATAAAATCCCCTTAAGTCTCAAATAGACAGGAATGAATTCTCTGAACCATCATCATAGTATCTGAGAGTTGGAAGGGGCCTTGGTAGTTCCCAGTCCAACGCATAAAAGAAAAGGAATCTCCACTATAATATACCTGACAAGTGGCCTCTATACTAAGATTTTCATAGAGGATGAACCTACCACTTCTTAAGGCAGCCTACCCAATTTTGCATAGCTTTAATTATTAGTAAGCTTTTCCTGACCTCAAGCTTCAATCTGTCTTTTTAGTAACTAACACTTATAGCTTGTGGCTCTATCCTCTGGGCCTAACAGAACAAATCAAGTCCCTCATCCAAATGACAGTCATTCAAATACCTTAAGACAGCTATCACATCCCACCCTTCCCTCCCCACAAAAAAATTGTTTTCTCTTCTACGAACCAATCATCCCCAGCTCCTTCAAATGATTCTTATATTACATGATTTCAAGACACTTTACCAACCCTAATGTCCTCCCCTGGACACTTTCCAGACAATCAATGTTCTTCTTAAACCATCCTGTCCACAACTGAAGACAAGTTGAGGTCTGATGAGGTCAGAGTACAGAGGCACTATCAGCACCTATTCCTCAAAGCAATGCCCTACTTAATGCAGTTTAAAATTGCATTAGCTTTTTGGATTGCCACATCATGCTGCTCACTCATATGGAACTTGAAGTCCACTAAAAACCCCAAATCTTTTTTTCAGAACTGCTATCTAACCAGGCCTCCCTCATTTTATATTTATAAAATTGTTTTTTTGTAAGCAAGTTTAAGACTTTACATTTATTCCTAGCGAACTTCATCTTACTAGATTCAGCCTAATACTAGCCTGTCAATATTCTGTCACCCAGTATGTTAACCAGCCTGGTGTCATATGCAAATGTGAGAAGCATACCATCTATGGCCTTTATCCAAGACACTGGAAAAAAAAATGTCAACAAGCAGAATCAAGTAAAAATCCTTGGAGCACTCCACTGGAAATGCCCTGCTATAGAGATACCAAATCATTAATAACTAGTTAGCCAGTTTCCTCACCTGTAGAATGGGA